AAAATTAGAAATATCGCCATTTGCTATATAATATCCAATTCTTCATTTTAAAATGCACGTCCAACACACTGTCGCATGTGAAGCTTTGTCTACCAAAATACAACTGCATGATGTGCAATTTTCCAACACTTAGAACATTCGAATTCTGTGTAGAGACCCTAATTACTCTTTTCAACTACTTGACTATACAGTTCATATAATTTGCAATATATATACATAATGATATTTCATATTGAAGAATAAATTTAAATTATTTGGAAAATAATTGGAATTATTGCTTATTCATTGGGGGGGGGGGTAATTATATATACATAATGATATTTCATATTGAAGAATAAATTTAAATTATTTTGGAAAATAATTGGAATTATTGCTTATTCATTGGGGGGGGGGGGGGGGTAATTATAATTTCTAACATAAATGCACTCTTTAATTCTATTTTTTTTTACCCACTTACCTGCCCAATGTTTGAAAAAAAAAGTCTTGAAAAACAATCAGTAAAAAAGTGGCCAATTCTTGTTTTGACAGGACCTCTTATTTATACGTATTAGTTTTACCACAATTCATTATACAAAGTTGTAACCGTTAGTTGGGTTTTATTCAACATCATTCAACTGTAATTTTAAAAAAAATTAGAAACAAAGTAAATAATATGAAGAAATATGCAATAGCAAATTATTATGACAACATTGATTCACACCTAAATGACGCAAATAAAAATAATAATAAATTATACTGGAAATTATTAAAAGATGTCTTTCACGCTAAAACTACATGCGAAATACCCCCTATTCAACAAATGAATGGTAACGGTGATCCTATATATGCATTTTCCGATCGAGAAAAAATTGAATTGCTTAATAATTTTTTTACATCGATCTCTGATATAAAAGATGAAGAATATGAGTTATCAGCTTTCGAATCCAAAGATGTAAAAAGATTTAGTGACTTGTATATACAAGAAAGTGAAATTATTGATATTATCTCTATCCTTCCCCTGAATAAAGCTGTAGGCCCTGATTGTATTAGTCACAAAATGTTAAAATCTTGTAAAGAAACAATAGCTAAGCCACTTTGTTTATTATTTAATAAATCCCTAAGACTTAAAATTTATCCTGAAAGTTGGAAACTAGCACATGTACTACCTTTATTTAAAAAAGATGATCCATCAGTGACTTCAAATTATAGACCTGTATCTCTTTTGAGTTGTGTGAGTAAAATATTTGAAAGAGTTATTTTTAAACATGTATATAATTTTTTTCATACAAATAATTTGTTCTACAAATATCAGGCAGGTTTTTTGCCTGGTCACTCAACTGTGTACCAACTTTTAGAGACTTATCATACTATTGTAAAAAGCATTGATGAAGGGAAACATTGTTGTATGGTTTTTTGTGATTTATCTAAAGCTTTTGATAGAGTTTGGCATAGGGGATTGATTTATAAACTGAAAATGTATGGTATCTCAGGTAATATGTTAGAATGGTTGGAAAGCTACCTTATCAATAGAAAACAAAAAGTCATGTATAAAAATTTATTTTCTTCCGTGAAAAACGTGCATGCTGGGGTTCCCCAGGGCTCTGTCCTAGGTCCTCTTTTATTTCTAATATACGTGAATGATGTTGCCGAAAATATGATATCTGTTTGCAGACTATTTGCAGACGATAACTCTTTACAAGAAAGTTCAAGTGACGTGCGCCTTATTGAACATAATCTAAATCACGATTTAAAAATTCTGGATGAGTGGTCCAAAAAATGGCTATTAAAATTTAATCCAAGTAAAACAAAAGTAGTGTTTTTCAGCTTAAAAAATACAAATCAATTACCTGCATTATTTTTTGGGAACTGTCAGCTAGAATATGTAACACAACATAAACATCTTGGTGTTATTTTCTCATCTAAGTTAGGCTGGACAGATTACATTGATAGTATTGTCAGTAAAGGCTACAAAAAACTTGGACTTCTAAAGAAACTTAAATTTTCAGTGTCTAGAGATACTCTATCAAAAATTTACGTTTCCTTTATTCGACCACAACTTGAGTATGCATCTGAAGTTTGGTCAGGCTGTTCGTTTGCAGATATTGAAAAACTTGAAAAGGTTCAGTTGAGCGCTGCAAGAATTGTGACAGGTCTGTCAGTATTAGCGTCAAGAAACTCGTTGTATGTTGAAACAGGATGGGAACCTCTTATAATAAGAAGGGATAAAGCTAAACTTTTAACAATGTTTAAAATCCACAATAACCTAGTTCCTGGTTATTTAAAAAATATAGTACCAGTAGTTAGAAAAAGTGTTTCAAATTATAATACTCGTAATTCAAGTAATTATTTTTTACCGAAGTGCAGGCTTGAATTACTAAATAAGTCATTTGTCCCTGATACTATTCGCAAATGGAATTCATTGAGTAACGAAACAAGGGAAATAACTTCAATAGGAATTTTTAAAAGAAAATTGAATAATAATAATGACAAGCCTCCCAAGTATCTATCATACGGCAAAAGGTATTTGAACATTTTACATACAAGATTAAGGCACAATTGTATTTTAAATCATGACTTGTATAGATGTAACATTATAACGAATCCAAATTGTTCTTGTGGATATAAGGAGGATAGTCATCATTATTTCTTTGTGTGTAGAAAATATCTTGAAGCTAGACGTTTACGCATGTGAGTTAAGGCTTGGTATAGGCGTTTCTATGCAAATGAGCTAATAAAAACGCGTAAGAGGTATATTTATTATTTAAAGAATGTTTTGATTTATTTTCTTATTCATACTTCTCACCCACGATATGTTATAGCCAGTATACATTATGACGTCATATTATGACGTCACTGATCTTACCTACTGTAGGTACTAAAACACACCAACAAAACAGCTTCGGCGCAAGGGATTACCCTATTTATTTTTACATAAAAATTGTATAATGCTAATAAGAATATTCTATAGATTATTAAAACTGCTGCACAAATCCTAGGCATTTTCTCATTTGATCAGAATTTCAGGAAACTTATACCGGACTGTACATTTTTACCCTGATTCAGCTCAAATCTTTACAAATAGTAATTATACAACTGAGCTGTTGATATTTGTGCAGCAATACCAGCAAAGGTAGGAATATTTTTCTTCTAAATATACCTTGTTTCAGTTAGATAAAATAAAGCATGCCCTTGCGCCGAAGCATTTTTGTTGATATCCATTATACTCTTGTGTAGTAAAGAACAATGACGTCACAATATGACGTCATAATGTGTACTGGCTATCTCATGTCGTGGGTACCAAGTATGTATTAGACAATAAGTTTTAACTTTCTTTGTACAAAAGATATAGTCCTTGGGCATTTTAATTATTTTAATTGTATAGAAATGCCTATACCTAGCCTTAACTCACCTGCGTAATGTTGAATGCATTACTTGTAATTAATAATGTAAAAATGTTAAATGTGCATAAACTGCTATGGGGAGATGAATCATTATCTTTGCAGGAAAATGAAAAAATATTTGGTATTGTTCAAAAATTTATTCAGGATACTGGTCGTTTCAATTAACACTTACATGTACTTGTATTTACTACCTTTTGAAACTATTTTAATATGGTTATTGACGTCATTATAATCATCATTATATCAACTGATATTCCTTAGCAATAATAACTATTGTCTTTGTTCTTCTACGTTCATGTATAATATTGTAAAATTGTAAATCTTTGTAAATGTTGTATGGCTATTAAGATTTTATGTATGGGAGAGGACTATCTAAGTTTTTAGAACTTGTGTCCAATCCCTTTGACACATTGTCAATAAAATATGTTCAAAACAAAAAAAATGCAGATCTTTTGCTTTTTAAAATTGCATTGTAACTTCCATCTACAAAAGGAATACTTTCAATGTGCTTTTTGGTACAGGTCACAACGTATTTCAACTAGTATACGTCCCTGATGTATTAATTAATTTTTTTTCCATTAAATAATAATCACAGTTTATTCACGTAGTTCAATAAAGTAACATTCAATTATCGAAGAAAGAAGAAAATTCTGGAAACAATATTACTTTAGCCAAAACAAAACCGTAATAACTATGTGCAGTTTTGGTTGTTGTGTATGACGTTGCGTCATCACTAGCTGCACGGACTATCATGATCTCTGCATGTACAGTACTGTTGATTACCTGTATATTGTGTGCGCTCAAGCGGAAAGGGATTTCGCATGGTGACTGTATATTTCACCTCTTTGTGTAAAACAATGGGCTTGGATAGAGTTGCATTTATGCAATATATTGTTAAAATGACACTTGTAAAAAAAATTTTTTTGATCGGGCGGGGGGTTTTCCCGAACCCCCCCAAACCCCCCTGAATCCGCCACTGTTTAGTGATATATTTTGTGAGCCTTTTCATTTAATAAGAAGCTAATTATAAGCAATTAACTGTTTCCTCCATCTTCTAAGATTTTATTTCTCGTTTACTGAGATGAATATTCGCTTATTTACCAAATGTTACGTCTTGTATAATTATAAATCTCGATTTCCCTTCTTTACACAGTTACTTCCCATTTTACCGTGGAAAAATAAATTAGCTGAAGGGAAAGTGAGAGCAAATTAGTCTTGGGACAAACCAATTATTTCAAACATATTAATCCTATGGTTCCTAAACCAGTGACAACTAGGTAAAATTGCCGTCGTTTATCATACATTAGTCCATTGTGTCAATTTGCTCTAGCAGGTTAACTGGTGCGGAAAAATTTTCGAGATACCCTGTATCACTTACGAATCTGCGTCTTTAGTCCGTAAAATAGCTCAAATATTGGCTGTTCCATTAATTGTCGTTTAATGCATATTTTCCCTTCAAGCTCTAAAGAAAATAGGTCATTTTAATTAAACTAGGACACTCAGGTAATTTGAAAAATATGTTTTTGTTTTTATAATTATTTTTTTCCTCTTATATTAGACTGTCAGTATTTTTTCACTCTTTATTTTATGTTTTTCCCGTAGGGAGTTTCGACCAAATTTTTGAAGGCAAAGGTCAAACTTCAACAGCGTGTGTCTCTCATGTCGGATTTGTGTGAAAAGTGATAGAAATAATCTTAATTATTAATTTTAATCAAGGGATTTTACTTAAGATTTAAAGATTTGAATACTTTACCAGTGCGTGTGGTGAGTATCTATAAGATTAATACATACTCAGCCTTAATAGCGGTGCTCTACCTCGTTCTCTAGATTTAACACTGTCCCTACCCTATTGTATTTTGGGGATAACAGTACTTTGGAATTTCGATGAATATCGATGTTGTTATTAATATTTTCCCCCTCCATTTAAACGCATCTTGATTGTATTATAAAATTGACAACATGTGTAACAGGATGGAAAATAAAGAAAGCACAGAGATGAAGTATTTGCACAGCAAGACAGTATTATGTATGATGTGATTCACTCATAAAAGTGTGTCTTCATTCTATAAACTACCCATGTGAAGATGTCCGGGGGTAGGGGTGGGGTGAGTGTGTGGGAGTGATGGAAAGTGCTTGTCACAATATGCCATATTGTCATTGATGCATGTCATGTATAATACTGCACTGTCCAAAACACACCTCAGGGTATAATTAAATAAAAGGATATGAATAAACATATAGTGTATTTAATTAACGTATGTTTTGTGGAGTCAGGTGTGTTATTTGTATTGTTGATAATCTGTATCTGCTCTAGACATATTGACATTAGAAATATTGACATTAGAAGGCCATGCCTTTTTCTATGAAACTTACTTGCTTGTCAATAAGTATGGTAATGTTGAGTATATGTTTATATTGAGTATATGTATTAGAATTGCTATACAAATAATACAATATATTGGTTACAATACATATTCTTCAGAATTTTCTGGTTGAGTCTAGCACATCTGAAATCCTGTTGAAAGTATGATCATGTATCATCAGGGACATAACATATATACATGATATATTTAGGTTCTTGATATTGTATGTTCCTGGTATAGACACGTTTGAGAATTGTTTCATATTGGGAGGAAGATATTATAATCCTCCTGTCTTATGCCCTGTTCACACGGAGAGTTTAATTCGAATTAAACGTAAGTTACTGCGAATTAAATTTGATCCGCATTCACACGGAGAATTTAATGCGAATTAGTTTAATTCGAATTAGTTTACTGCGCATTAAATTACTTCGCATTAGCTCCGTGTGAATGCTAAGCGAAGCTAATTCGAATTAAATTTTGACGCATGCGTAAGGGCAGAATTAAGTCACAGGCCACATGTCGATGGTCAAATATAGGTACTTGTGCCAATTTTGAGTGGAAAACAAAGGAAAATTACGTTAATCACTAAAATGTGTACAGGCACTATGACATTATGTGAAATATATATCTGCCGTGCACAATATGATGTGATTTGTAACTGACGTCATAATAGCCTCACTGAATAGCCTTGTTGTAGAAATAAAATTATAATTCGCATTAGTTTACTTCGCATTAGCTGTCGTGTGAACGCAATTTAATTCGCATTAATTTAATTCGCATCATTTTTCTTCGCATTAATTTACTGCGAATTAAACTCTCCGTGTGAACAGGGCATTAAAATAGATGTTCTGAATTCTTTTGTCATGCACACTATCAGTTATTAGGAGTATGTATTTGAATGAATCATGAATATGTGTTTAACATGTTGAAGCTTAAGTGCATTAATTAAATAATTAACTTGGAAGTAAACCCAGTAATGCTTTGGTTAATTTTGCTTAGTATGAAAAATCTGCATATTTCACCTCAAAATGGGTTTTTTTCTGAAAGGGTCTAATTTTCTGTATCATTGAGTACTAGCTGGTGGAAAATAATTTGTTGTTTTAGAGAAGCCACTTAGTTGGAATAAGTAGCTCTGTCAGTTCTAGAAGTGTTTAGCAGCACTGTAGATGCTTCTCTTCCTACTAGCCATGAGGAGAAAACCCTGTGTATGGTGTGGAGGAAATCTCACCTCTTCTGACAAGAGGGGGGTTTAGTTTAGATGCGGTGGCAACACAAGTCAAGTGACCCAGAAGTGTGTGTGGTTTTTAACCTCTCTCTGCCAGCAGCTTGATTGAGGTTTATTTAAATTTTCAGGCCATTCACAGTTGTGGCAGGGGAAAAAAAATCGAGAGAATCGAGGTGCAGGGGAGTAAACTGGAAGATTTAACTTTTAGTACGTTTAGTTCCATGTGCTTTTGCCTTTTGACTTTTAAGGAAGATTTAGAAGTTAACACAGTTTGCAGACTTGTACACTGTACTATGAAGTTGTACAGATAAGGCAGTCATAATGTATACAATGATGTATAAAAAGTGGCCCATTTAAGTCAGGTTTTTTTAGGGTCTGTAGGGGGCCGAAATAAGGCCCCATTCCCAATGCTGAAAAGCAGGTATTTTCCCCAATTTTTGCTTCAAAATTCCCAAAAACTTCAAAGCAGAGAAGCCTCATCATTCATATATCTCCTTCACAGGCCCACAGATTACAAATTTTGCCTCAAAATTGTTAATTAAATCTTTTTTTTTTTTCAAATTGAAAGCCAATAGGAATCCCATTATACCTGCTTTATTCACTTGTTTATTCTTTTTTCAAAACTTCTTTGGATAAAATGTTTTCTCAATTCCAAGAAAATATCGCTATTTTTTCCCAATTGGAAAGGCCCAGGCCCTTGAATTCAAGACCTAAAAAAACCTGAAAGTGAGCATGTCTCCTAATAAATAGACACAATACCAAGACAGTCTGCATGTATGTAGTTATTAAAATAGAATTAGGGGTAGCTAAATTAACAGTTATTAAGTATTACTGTTAAAAAAAAAGTTTTTCTTCAGTGGAACATTTTGGTTGTTGACTAATAATATCAGAGATGGTTGGACCCAGAAGTACAAAAGTGTGATTTTTACAGAAGAGCATTTGTGTACACATTCTTGAACAACTTGCATTCATGTACTTACGGCTAACTTGAACAACTTCTGCACGTGTATGTACGTAGTACTTACTGTTCGAGAATTTTTTTTTTTACAATAAGTAGAAGTGATAATACGGCCTTAAATCCTCATTTTTCCTGGTTTACTTAGAACAGTAAATGGTTAGAGCAGCATAACTAGCAATGTAAAGGTTACTCTCTGTAATTAAGTTTACTACATAAAATTTATGATAGGCTTTTTATGGTGGATAATGGGATGGCAATTAAAACACCATCATCGTTTGTCCTTGGGGAAATTTAAAGTATGCTGGGAGTGGGAGAGAAGGGGGTGATAAATGTTACTGCTTACCACTATATTTGTAGCAGAGAGTAGTAAGAATTAATTTGTTCATGAGGGTGAAAGCTTTAAGTGTGTTTCACTAATTGGGGAGGTTTATCATGTGTATTGCAGACTAAATGGCTATTCGACTATAGGAGAAATTGTACTATTTTTCTTTACTCTTTAGTATAATTACTTTTCCTATAAATGTACAAGCTTTAGACTTGTGAACAGTATTGTTACTGACCATAACATAATACTGACAAAATAATTATTTAATTTATACTGATTACTGAACTATTTAATTTTGTGGATGAAATGTCAAAAATGATGATTTAATTCCCAGAGAGTGCACTTGCTATTTACTACTGGGCAAGTGCACTATCCACTTCTCTGTAGAGGAAAGGAATAGACTATAACCCTAGCCTAGCCAAGATGACTGCACATGAACTGTGTAAAATGAATATGTACATAGGTTTTGTGTAGGGGAGGGGGGGATGGGGGTCAGAAATTATATTTTACTCTTAAAAAAAATACCATGCTTTGGAGTCAAGAAATACTGAGATTCCAGATTGATGTGTGTTGTGTGACAGATTTTGGTTACCCACACTTGGTATGCTGTGACTAAGCTGGTGCCCGCCCCCTATGCCGTGATAGCTGTTTCCTTCAGGCTGTTACAGTCCTCATAATCCTCTCAGTGGCTGCTGTGGTCACTCAAGTAGAAAAATTGTTGATGCTCGTAGATAGCTGTGAACAAGTGGACCAAGAAATGTCAATTTCACTCTGATCATTAGCTGTACCTATTAAAAGCTTTTTCTCCCTTCCTTTTAAATTTATCTGTGCATTCTTAACAAGTGTATCTCTATATGCTTAAATTTTTGTACATTCTTTGTTTATTGGGGTTAGACAGAAGTTTAATTGTTTGGCATAATTTCAGCAGTTGCAACAAAGTAATTGTAGAGTTTCAGTTGGTTCTATTAAAGACCAGAAAACAGGTTGTTATTTCTGCTATATCTAATGTTTTTTTTTTGTGTGTGTGTATAACACTGTTAGAAGTCTTTACGAAATTATCGCCAATGTTCCAGATTGCCGTTATGATACCTGGTCGACGTTTGAATTATTGATCATTTCTGCAACTTTTCAAAGCTTTTATCTGCACATGATGTTTGCTGAGCATTGTTTCCTAGTCTTGGCGAGGTGTCTGCAGTTTTGGAGTATTGTTGTCTCATAATACACAGGCATTAACTTCTGTGGCTGAATCTATGAGTGCTCTAATCAGATAATGGGTATTAGGTCCCAGAGAAAGGGGACCATACAAAAAAATCCACTGGAATGGCTGCAATCATTAGAGATAGTGAAAAAAATTACTCAATCTTGTGAACTTATTTCATAAAGTAGGCATTTTATGTGCAATATGTATCTATACAGGTGAATTTCTCACAGAAATTGCAGGAGTTTGTGCTAATGGTTCTTTTCAAACAAAAAATTAAAATTTCAATTTGTGTTAATTTTCATCAAGATTAAGGATTTATAACACGTTATAAGAAAAAATGCAGGGACTTGATAGAGAATTGAAAATTACAGCAGCTAGGTTTTATTATTGCTAATTTATAGAATTTTTAGATAAATTTGTCTATCAAACATGTCAATGTCAGTAGTTTTGTGAATTCAGTTTGTATTTTAAGATGATGCAAATGATGTTAGCATTCATATAAGCAGAAGAGAGACTTGCATGTAGATACTGCATAAAAATAATGAGGAATATATATATCGCTATTTTAATTCATGGTTTTTGTGAGGTTGTGAAACATAGAATGTTGTTTGTGCAGAATCCTAAATTAATACGTGACATTTAATTATTAATCAATATTTGTGCATGAATTCAAATGTCTTTGTTTTTATAGA